CATCCATCCTGACGCTGCCAATTGGTCCAGTGGTGAGAATCTTTGTCTTCTTAACATTGAACCTCAATCCATATTGAAGGCTGCAGTCCTTGACCCACTGCAGCAGGTGCTTCAGGTCCTCTTCAGTTTCAGCAAGCAGGGTTCTGTCATCTGCATAACGCAGATTGTTGATAAATTGTCCACTAATCTTGACCCCACATTTCTCCTCATAGAGCCCAGCCTCCCGGATAATCTGTTCTGCATATAGGTTGAAAAGGTTTGGAGATAGGATGCATCCCTGGCATATGCCCTTCCCAATTTTGAACCATGCAATGTTCCCTTGCTTTGTTCTGATGACCGCCTCCTGGTCCAAATATAGGTTTCGCATTAGCATGATCAAGTGTTCTGGGATTCCCATTCTTCTCAGAGTCAGCCACAGTTTGTTATGATCCACACAGTCAAAAGCCTTTGCATAGTCAATGGAACACAGATAGACATTCCTCTGTAATTCTCTGTTTTCAGCTAAGATCCATCTAACATCAGCTACCATATCCCTAGTACCACGACCCCTTCTAAACCCAGCCTGGACTTCTGGTAGTTTTCTGCTAATATGCTGTTCCAGTCATTTTTGGATGATCAGTAAAGTCTTGCTTACATGTGAAATCAGTGAGATCGTTCTATAGTTTCCCCACTCTGTCAGGTCACCTTTCTTTGGGATAGGAACAAATATAGATCTCTTCCAGTCAGTTGGCCAAGTGGTTGTTCTCCAGATTTCTTGGCACAATTTGGTGAGCACAACCAGGGCAGCATCTGTTAGCTTCATATATAAGCTATTAGATCAAGGACTGGCCAATGGGAGATAGATTGGTAAGTGTTGTTTTTGTTGTTGTTATGTGCCATCGAATCATTTGCGACTCATAGCGACCCTATGTACAACAGCCCTAAACCATGATCTATCCTGTGCCAATTGAATTGTGTCTGACACACCCATCCCAATTACCCCAGTCACTGCATCAATCCACCTCATAGAGGGTCTTCCCCTCCTGCGCTGTCCGTCTACTCTACCCAGCATGATGTCCCTCTCTAAAGACCTGTCTCTCCTTACAACATGTCCAAAGTATGTCAGACAAAGCCCCACAATCCTTGCCTCCAAGGAATAGCCTGGTTTAACCCTCTCTGGGATGAATCTGTTTGTTTTCTTGGCAGTCCATGGTACATTCAATACTCTTCTCCAACACCACAGCTCGAAGGCGTCAATTCTCCTTCTATCCTCCCTAGTCATTGTCCAACTCTCTGATGCATAACAAATTATTGCAAAAACCATGGCCTGTATCAGGCACACCTTAGTCTTCAGAGAGACACCGTTGCTCTTGAGTACTTTAGGTCCCTAACAGCAGACTTTTCCATTGCAATACGTCTTTTGATTTCCTGGCTGCTGGTGCCAAGAGTGTTGACCATGGAGCCGAGCAAACTGAAGCTGTGAACGATCTCAATCTCTTCACCATCCATCCTGATGCTACCAATTAGTCCAGTGGTGAGTATTTTTGTCTTCTTGACATTGAGCCTCAGTCCATACTGAAGGCTGCAGTCCTTGACCCTCTCCAGTAAGTGCATGAAGTCCTCCTCAGTTTCAGTGAGCAGGATTGTGTCATCTGCATAACGCAGATTGTTGATAGATCTTCCACCAATCCTAACGCCACACTTCTACTCATAGAGCCCAGCCTCTCAAATAGTCTGCTCTGCATACAGGTTGAAAAGGTATGGAGATAGCACACATTCCTGGCATACACCCTTCCCAGTTTTGAACCATAGAGTGTTGTCCTGCTCTATTCTGACGTCTGCCTCGTGGTCCAAGTATAGGTTTTGCATTAGCACAATTAAGTGTTCTGGGATTCGCATTCTTCTCAGAGTCAGCCACAGTTTGTTATGATCCACGCAGTCAAATGCCTTTGCATAATATGAAACACAGATAGACATTCTTCTGGTATTCTCTGCTTTCAGCTAAGATCCATCTAACATCAGCTACAATATCCTAGTACTACGACCTCTTCTTATCCCAGCCTGGACTTCTGGAAGTTCTCTGGTGATGTACTTTTCCAGTCGTTTTTGGATAATCTTCAGTAGAATCTTGCTTGCATGTGAAATCAATTATATTGTTCTGTAGTTTCCACACTCAGTTGGTTCGCCCTTCTTTGGGATGGGAACAAATATAGACCTCTTCCAGGATCTTAAAGACTTTTTTTTCATAGGATCGCTATGAGTTTAGTTTGACTTGAAGACAATCTACAAGATAGTAATTTCAAATAGTTCTCTCCCTCATCTATTTCAATGCAGTATACATTGTCCCCTCTCTTCTTAGGTTCCCCCCAACCCCAGTGTCAGTCTTGTTTTACAACAGTGGCACTATGAAGTATTTTTCCTTTTGTGACTGAGATATTTCATGCAGCTTAATGTCCTTCAGGGTCACCCATTTTGTATAATAGTATATGAATATCTTGTTTTTTAATGCAGCATAGTATTCCATTGTATGAATATACCACAGCTTCTTTACCCATTCGTTTGTAGATGGGGACTTGTCTAACTCTCTGCTTTTGTGAACAAAGCAGTAAACATTAGTGTGCATATATCTTCAGGGTGGCAGTTCTGGTTTCTTTAGGGTATATTCCCAGTAGCGGAATTGCTGGGTGAAATGGTATTTCTATTTCAAACTTTTTTAAGAAGTGCTATACTGCTTTCAATAGTGGCTGCATAATTTTACATTTCCCCCAACAGTGAATAAGGGTTCCAGTTTCTCCACAACCTCACCAGTTTTTTTATCTGTTGAATTTTGCTTTTCTTGCTGGGGTTAAATGATACCTCATAGTTGTTTTGATTTGCATCTCTCTTAGAGCTAGGGGATTTTGAACATTTCTTCATGTGTGTGTTTACCATCTGAATGTCTTCTTCAGTGAAGTGTCTGTTCATAGCCTGTGCCCATTTTTAAAGTGGGTTGTTTATCTTGTTGTGGTGATCAAGTATTCTCTAAATTCTAGATATAAGTCCCTTATCAGATGTGTCATTACAATTTTTTTTACGTCTGTGGCTTCTCTTTTTACCCTATTAGAGAAGATTTTGTATGTACATAGATTTGATTCTTAAAAGGTCCCATTCATCTAGTTTATCCCCTCCTGGCTATAGGTTTTTCAGTATGTTTGAAAGATTGTTCATTTTGTGGATTAGGGCTCCTAGGGTTCTTTCAAGCTTTTATCTAATGAAGTTTATAATCCTTGGTTTTAGAACTAGGTCCTTGACACACTTTGAGTTGGTGTTTGTTTATGGTGTGAGGTATGGATCTTGCTTGAGTTTTCAGCAAATCGTATTCCAGTTTTGCCAACACCATTTGTTAAAAAAGTATAGTTTTCCCACTTAACTGATATAATTTCTTTGTCAAAAATCAGTTGTACATAGGTAGATGGGCTGATTTCTGGGTTCTCAATTCTATTCCATTGATCTATGTATCTGTCATTATACCAGTATCACACTGTCTTGACCACCATGGCAGTGTAGTAGGATTTGAAATCAGGGAATGAGATGCCTCCTACCTTGTTTCTCTTTTTAAGGAGTGCTTTGCTTTTTCAGGGCCTCTTTCCAATCCAAATAAAATTGGAGATTGCTTTTCCTTCTTGATGAAGAATGGAATTGATATTTGTATTGGGATTATGTTGAATGTTTAAATTGCCTTTGTTAGTATTGTCATTTTCACAATATTGAGTCTGCCTATCCAAGAGCCAGGTATATCCTTCCATTTCTCCCGTCTCTTTTTGTTTCTTGTAGTAATGCTTTGTACTTTTCTTTGAATAGATCCTTTGTGTTTCTGGTTAGGTACAATCCCAACGATTTACTCTTGCAATTAGCTATTGTGATGGATATTGTTTTTCTTAGCTCCAGTTGTGTATTTTCTTTGTCACCATAGAGAAATCCAATTGATATTTGTATGTTGATCTTGTATCCTGCCACTTGCTGAATTGGTCCGCTATATCCAGTAGTTTCTTTAGGGTTTTCCAAGTATACTATTGTATCATCTTTATATATTTAAAGTGTGGCTGTATCTGCTTAATAATCAGGTTAAATTATTTTCCCGGGTTCTGTCAATGCTTATATTTCACTTACTTCTTGCTCTTTCTGTAGTCATAAGTAGTTCAATGTGAAACTGGAAGAGACAACAATTGGAATCTACAAACATCTCAGTATGAAATGAAATTTCAGGATTTAATTTTCAATCTCAATGTATTAAACTGACATTGTTTTATTACACTGAAATGAAATATTTACATTTGAATCGTCAATAATAATTTATAATTTTTGATAATTTATTTTCTTTCTAGGTAAAATAAACTTTATTTGAATAGGTTAAAAGATAAGTACTAGTGGCTAGTGACAAGAAATGGTGCTGTAATCTCAAAGGAACGTGGTTAGAATGCACCAGCTGCTTGGTGCATGAAGGAAGGACAATCTCCTCTCATGAGATTAATGGCCTCTGAAAATCCACTGGGGGGTCAAGTAGGGGTCAGTTCCAACTTGATGACATACAAGAACATCATGTTAAAAGATAAAATTTAATATATTTTAAAATTTATAAAAGAAAAAAATAAAACGGTCATAGAATTTGTAGTAAATTTCCAAAATTTAATTGACTTGTAGTGGATTAGTGGTAAGTAGCTTCACTGCCATCCCAAAGACATGTAGTTCAAATACACCATTTACTTCATGCAATTAAACTGCCTTTGAAAACCCACTGAAGGATCAACTGTGAAAAATTTCAGACCTGACAGACACAACATATATGTTCAAAGTTTAATTAACTGTTAGTGTTGCATTGCAACACTGAGATCTTTAAATTTTAGGGAGTAATACAAAGTATATCATCCTGTTACTTAATAGAGATCTTTTCATTTATTTTCCCTGAATACAAAGATACTCAGCAATTATGATGTGACTATCTTTTTTTTTTTTTAGAATTTTATTGAAATCATAAAACAGAAATGAAGAACCATACAAAGCAGATAGAATTTATTCTACTCGGACTGACAGATAATTCTCAGTTACAGATTATCGTTTTCTTATTTCTATTTCTCAATTATACGCTGAGTATGATAGGGAATTTAACTATTATTGTTCTCACTCTGCTGGATTCTCATCTCAAGACACCAATGTATTTCTTCCTTCGTAATTTATCTTTTCTAGAAATTTCATTCACAACTGCTTGTATTCCCAGATTTCTAATCTCTATTGTAACCAGGGAAAAAAGTATTTCCTATGATGGTTGTATAGCTCAGTTGTTTTTTTACATCTTTTTGGGGGTGACAGAATTTTTCCTTCTAGCTGCTATGTCCTATGACCGCTATGTTGCCATCTGCAAACCCTTGCATTATATATCCATCATGAGCAACAAAGTTTGTAACCGGCTTTTATTTAGCTCTTGGGTAACTGCTTTCCTGTTTGTTTTCCCTCCATTGATTTTGGGTCTTAACTTGGATTTCTGTGCTTCAAATATCATTGATCATTTCATTTGTGATATCTCTCCTGTCCTACAACTTTCTTGCACAGATACATATTTACTAGAGTTGATTGCTTTTTTATTAGCTTTAATGACACTGATTGTCACATTGTTATTAGTAATCATTTCTTACTCTTACATCATCAAGACAATTCTAAAATTCCCTTCAGCTCAGCAAAAGAAAAAAGCCTTTTCTACCTGTTCTTCTCACATGATTGTTGTCTCCATCACTTATGGCAGTTGTATCTTCATCTATATTAAGCCATCAGCAAATGAAAGAGTAACTTTAAGCAAAGGAGTAGCTCTGCTCAATACTTCAGTTGCCCCTTTGTTAAACCCATTCATTTATACCCTGAGGAACCAGCAAGTAAAACAAGCCTTCAAGACTGTATTTAAAAAGATATTTTATGCTTCAGACAAATAAGATGATCTACTAGAATTATTGACGTGAAACCTTAAAATCAACATTGAGCAAAAATAATATGATTCTTCTAACTTGTTAATTTGTACAAATTTAATTCATTGAATTATCTGACTTTAGATTATTTACATTCTAGTCATCAGTACTTCTGCTGTTTGTTTTTCAAGACAAAAGCTTGTAGATATTAGAAATATAAAATAGCAAAACGTAATTTCTTATTAAATTGTCTTGGGATAGAATTAATGAAGGATTTACTATTATAGAATATAAACTCTTAGAGACTTGTGGAGATAACATTGAGAAGAATAGGAATCCCAGAATACTTAATTGTGCTCATGTGAATCCTAAACATAGATAAAAAAATATAGTTGAAACAGAATAAGGAAACACTGAATGTTTTACTGTCAAGAAAGATGTGCTTCAGGGTTATGGCCTTCCTCTATATATATTCAAACTTTATGCTATGCAAATCATATGAGAATCAGACAAGATGAAGCAAGACAGGACATGAGGTTTGAAGAAAATCTCATCAATAATCTTGATTGCATAAAGTGAAGGGGATTTTAAACACTTACTATAAAAGATCAAAGAATACACAGCCTTCAATAGGGATTGCATCTCAACATGAATAAAACAAAAATCATCACAACTAGACCAATAGACAATATCATGATAAATGAAGAAAAGATTGAAGTTGTCAAGAATATAATTTTCCTTGGCTCCACAATTAAACACACATGGCAACAATAGTCAAGAAATCAAAAGGTTTGTTTAGGACTGTTCCAAAGTGTTAAAAAAAATTGATACCAGTTTAAAGAATAAAGTACTTGACCCAAGCTATAATCTTTATATTTACTTACAAATAAATAATTTGGAAGCAGGAGTGGCATACATTTCTTAAACAGCATGTGTCTGGAAGCTCTATGAACTTCAAGAAAAGACTTTAGTTATAGAAAGGCTTCAAGTCTTTTGTTCATAAGGTTGCTATGAGTTGTGCTCGACTTGACAGTGAACAATAACAACAATAATAAATAAGGATGACAGAAGAAGAATGGATGTCTTTGAATTATGTTATTGGAGAAAAGTACTAAATGTCTCATGGCATTCCAAAGGAACAAACAGACCTGTCTTTGAAGGAGTGCAACCAGGGTATTCTTTAGAGGCAAAGAAAGTGAAACTTCATCTCATTTACTTTAGGTCTTGTGTCAATAATGGCAGCACTTGGAAAAAGGCATAATGCTGAAAAGGTGGAAGGTCAAAAGAAGAGAAGAAGACACTCAATAAGATGAATTGCCACAAATGAGTGTAATAATGGAGTTAAGCCAATGTAAAGAATTAGAGGATGGTGCATGATAAGGCAAAGTTAAAATCTGTTGTTAATGGGAACTCTCTGAATTATATTGACTTAATGGTACCTACCTAACAAACAACATGAATCTGTTAAATAAATTATGTATTTTATTTTCTGTAAAAGTTCTTGTTCTTCTAAAAAATTTATTTGATTTGGATTAAAATGTCCAAAGCTAAGTATTTTTTCCATTTAACAGTTTATCCATATTTTTCCCCATGACTTTGATTGTAATCACTACAGTATAACATCACTCTTTCTTTCTACTTCTTTTTCATTCCCCCCATTTCTATTCATCCTTATTTCATATCAATTCTTGCCATCTGAGCACACCCTCTGAGTGAAATCTTTCCTTTTGTATCATGTGGCTGATATTTCTAAAAAGCATACATTCCTGCTCCTACTATTCATCTTCTGTTGTTGTGTACCAAGTTCGAACCAATGCATAGCTGACCCTCCAATGAGTTTTCAAAGGCAGTTAATCATACAGAGGGAGAGTACATTCATTTTACTGGACTCTCTGTATTTACCTAAACATTGAGCCACAGAGGTATGGTCAGTGTTAAGTTTGAGGTGCATCTAAGAACCATGACTTCAGGACTTCCACTGTTGTTACATGCTGTTGTGCCTGTAACTCATAGTAACACTATGTACAATGGCTCTGGAGCCTGCCCTATCTTGAGTCAGTCTCTCTGACTCTGACACATCTAATCCCATTGCTCTAGTTACTATTTAAACTCATTTTATCCAGGGTCTTCCTCTCCTGCACTCTCCCTCCACCCTCCCAAGAATTATGCCATTCTCCAAGGATGGGTCCCTCCTGGCCACGTGCTCAAAGTATTTGAGATGCAGCTTCAAAATTCTAGCCCCCAAGCAGAAACTTGGTTTCACTGTCTACAAGACAGACCTATTTTTTCCCCTTTGGTGGTCTGTGATCTGTTCAAGGCTCTACTCCAGAATCTCAACTCAAGGCATGAAATCTTCTGTTATCCTTATTTATTGTCCAGCTATCTATCTGGTGCATAGCATGTAATTGCAAAGACCATGCCCTGGATCAGGCACACCTTAGTCTCTAGACTTCCAGTTGTTGTTGTTGTTAGCTGTCGTTGAGTCATAGAGGACTCATAGTGACCCTATGAATGAAAGGCCTGAGCATTATTTGTACATAGAGTTTCCGGAGGCAAGCCATTTTGGAAGTGGATGCCGCTCCTGCTTCCAGGCTTGTTTTAGTTGGGAAACTCCAGCAAACACTGTCCACCATGGGTAACCATCACCACATTTGGCACATCAGTGTCTCAGTGTTCAGCATCACAACAACCAAGACTTACCTCTGTACAGCAATGCACAGACCAGTGCTATACCACCTAGGAGAATGTTTGACAGGAAAACAATTTGAACCTGGCCTGAGGGAGGCAGGGCCTAAGGTCCTTTTGGGCTAAAAGGCCCCTCCTGCCTTAAACCTTAGGCCAAGCCTGGCTTGCCTGGCTCCTGGAGGCAGAGCAGTCCTTCACGTCAAACACAAGCTCAAAAAAGCACTGGATTCCAAAAGCTGCCACAACACCTGTGCACACAGCACCATTCTCTCTCTGGCAACTGGGTCACAGCAACCCTGGGCGGAACAAAACCAGGGAGAGCATGGCCACCTTCTCTCCCCTCTCCCCTTGTGGGCTGAAAGCCCTCTCCTGCCTTAAACCCTAGGCCAAGCCTCTTGACCCAATTAGCCTTGTCTTTTCATGATTTTGAGCTTTGGTGCTCCCCCCCCCTCTATCCAGACCTTCTATTGTAACCCCTTTCAAAGAAGTGTCATAGTTTGTACAGTATTGTGCTGTGAACAAAAACCCCATTCAAATTCATCAATCATTCAGTAGGAGAAAGATAAGCAGTCTTCTCCCATTATGATTTACAGTCTTGGAAATCTGGTGGAAAATTACAGTGCATTGTAATTGACATGATGGCAAAAAGATTGAGGTTTTGACTTTAAAACTGGTCAGTTTTAGTTGCCAATATACCATCAAGTTCTTGTACCAGATTCATGGAGTTTGAAGTTGATATGGTTCATTAGTCCTTAAATGATGTGCACTCATTCCATACATCTTTAATTGTAATTTTCATCACTCTTAAGTGCTCAAAGTGGGGATATTGTTGTTGTTAGATGTCCTCATGCCAACTGCAACTCATAATGACCCTAAGAACCATTTCCAGTTCTGCAACATCCTCACAATCTATGACTTGCTTGTTCCCATTGTTATAGTTTCTGTGTCCTCTCTTTCTCTGATACTCCACCTTTTTCAACATAATAGACTCTTAAAATTCTTTCTAAAATTAATTTACTTTAAGTTTTAATTAGGAATTGGTGAAAGTTTATAGATCATTTTGTCTATTCAAGGATTCATACAATATTTGGGTCAAAGTTATTAGTGGTAATTAGTTTTTTATTAAACTATTAATATACAAATTTAGCCAATCACAATATACATTTTTGTTTCATGACATTGATTGAAATTCCCACAAATTGTCATCAATCATTATATTTCCTCCTTTATTTTCCATTTCCATTCCTCCTTCATACTTTCTGAATTTTGTCCTTCGGAAAATGATGCCCTGTTGATATCAAATGTTTCATTGTTTTAAGGATATATATCTCCTTAGTGTCATTCATATTATAGATTTGTACATTGTTTGGCTTATAATTAAGCCATGGTAGTGAGCTCATGAGCGTGGGGACATAGTCTTGACACAAGTCTCTGACAAGTAAATCTTATCTTTTTATGATTCTGTAAACAATAGCTCTGAACCATGCCCTATCTTGAGTCAATCTCACTAACTCTGACCCACTTATATTCACTATGTCAATTCATCGCAACCAAGGGTTGCTCTCCCATTCTGACTCTCCATATTTCTGAGCATTTGTCATTTTTTTAAGGACTGACCATTCCTGTATGTAATTTGGAGCTTCACAATGCTCACCTCCAAGGAACAACCTGCTTTCACCCTCTTCAGGACATACCTGTTTGTTTCCTTGGCATTCCATGGTATGCTCAGTACTTTTCTTCAGCACTACAACTCAAAGGCATTGGTTCTTCTTCTGCCATTGTTAATCCTAATCCTATACTCAGATGCATAGCAAGTGGTTGAGAAGACCAAGGCCTGGGTTAGGTGTACCTTAGTCTTTAACCTGATATCATGGTTCTGGGTCCCTGATAGCAGACTCTAAAATCAATTTGTCTTTTTATTTCCTGCCTGGTTGTGTCAAGAATGTTGATTGTAGACCTGAGCAAGATGAAATTATTAACAACTTCAGTCTCTTTCCTATCTATCATGATGCTATCATTTTTTTTTTCTGGCTATGAGAATCCTTATTTTCTTGATGTTGAGATGCAATCCATATGGAAAACAAGTCTTTGATCTTCTGCAGCAAATGCTTCAAGTCTTCCTCAGTTTCAGCAAGCAGGTTGTGTCATGTTCATAAAGCAGGTTGTTGATAAATTTTCCTTCTTATCCTATTCAGCACATAGATTGAAAAAGTATGGAGAAATACCACAACAAGTTAAAGGTAAATAACCCAGTTGAAAAATAGGCACAGGATGTGAATAGACACTTCACCAAAGAAGATATTCAGATGGAAAACAAATACATGAAAAAATGTTCAAAAACC